CACAGAGCATCCCAGGGTGCCCTCCCCGGGGTGCACAAGGGCATCCAGCAGACACGAAGCGCATTAAGATGATGCCCTCCCCAGGCCGACCTCGATCAAAAATCTCGGTCCGACTGTACGCAACGCCGCAGAAAACGCACCAAAGGGAGGAATCGAACAGGGCAAGACTTTTCTGAAGGGGCCCCGGGACACACAAATAAATACACACAAATAAAAGTATTCCCCATATTTTCCTATATTTTCTGGGTTTCTGTCTTCCCCCCCACTTCCCATATTTTCCCATATTTTCTGGGGAATCGAGGATTAATTGTGTCTGTGTGTTTTTTTCCCTCCTGACTTTTTGTCAGTGAAAGCGCCAGGCCCAAGGGAGGGGAAGGCAGACGGGGTCGGCCGTGTCAGAAGGCGGCGGGGCTTCTCGGAAGCCCTCGCGAGTTCTGAGAAGCCCCCCTGCGGCTCTCAGACCCAGAGATCCAACGTATTGAAAAAATCAAGACGGAGCTTTTTTGATAGATGACTCGAAACCTCTGAGGATCGGCGGGTTCGGAAGATGCATTGGGCGCCGCGGCCGCTCCAGAGCGTTCCGGAACGCTCTGGGAGCGCTCCGGAACGCTCTGGAGCGATTTATCCCGATCCTAGCCCTGTTTTATCAGAGGAGGCCGAAAGAGGCCAGAAGGCGCGAGGGCCTCTGAGAAGCCCCCGCCGCCGCCGCCTTCTGAGCAGGCCGGCCCCCCTGGCTGCGTCCCACCGTTGGAGGCCCCGAAATGGGCACCAGCACCAACGCAGGGGGTTGCCTCTCTCCGCAGGGGGAAGAGGATCCTGGACTTCGGCGTTGGTGGTAATGCTTCGGGCACCTGTGCAGCCAGAAGATTGCCACCATCACCGAGATCGGGATCTTCTTCCCTCGGTGGAGGAACACCGCCGAGATCGGCGTTGGTGTCCACCTCTGGGCCTGCGACCGCCACGACCTCGGGCGCGCCGCCCACGTGGGGGCTGGGGTGGCTGTTCCTCCCTCTCGGCGTGGGCCCAGGAGCAGCCTGGCCAGGACCGGTGTCTGAGCATCGTTGAACCGATCCCCATCCCCAGCGTGAAGTCGGGCGTGTCCCCCTACAGGGGGGTTTGGGGAAAAAATGAAAATCATCTTCAAAAAATACACCACAAATGGGCAAACATAGTCAAAAAAGCGTCCCCATATTTTTTTGACTATTTTTGAAGATGCCTTCTGTAGAGGGACGTGCCCAACTTAACCCCAGCGGCGTGGCCTGGGCCCCACTGGCCGATCTACCCCCCTGGATGGGGGGGGGTATAGACCGTCCTCTTCGGGTTTCGAGGGGTGTATCCCCAACTGGGGGGGTGATTTGGTGGGAGTCTCGAAGGGGATGGGGATGGGGATGGGGGTCGGAGAAGCGATACTGAGTGTCGGCGCGCCGGTGGGGCTTCTGCCATGAAGGAAGCGGGCCCTGAAGCGAAACGGGTCCTGGACCCCAGGGGCCTTCCCCCAAGATCGGGGAGACGTAAGACTCGGGCTAGGGGGACTCGGGTTGGTCCGACAAGGGGGTCAAGGGTAAAGCCTGTATGCCCGCGAAGGGGCGGCCGCTTGGGGCACAGGCGGGTGAAAACCAGCAGACGCTCATGTGGTGAAGAACATCTCCTGTCATACCATTCCTCGGGTTGGTCTGACAGGGCCATCACAAAAATGACGCGACCCAGTCTGAAATTTTGCGCGGGCTCCCGCACTGCAGACGTCCCACGAAAACTGGGCCTTCAGAATCCAGGACGAGCTCGGCCCAAAAACGTCCGCAAACCCGGGTTCTGGCCTACTCGAGTCTTACGTTTCCCCCACAAGACCAGCTCTTCTCTGGAGTCCCGAAACGGTGCGGTGACAGACCGTGCGGTGGCCTCGCAATCCCGCAAGAACTCACCGCACGGTCCGTCACCGCACGGTCTTGGGACCCTGAAGGCCCCTGTCGCCCGAGACATCCTCGGAGAACGGCTCGAGTCCCAAAACCGTGCGGTGACCCCGCACCCCCACCGACTCACCGCACGGTGTGGTCACCACACCGTTTGGGGGCCCCCGATCTTCATCCGGAGCCGCTTTCTGAGGGCCCCGTGTCCCGGAGAGAGCCCCGCGAGCCCGAAGACGGCGGGCAAGACTCGGGGCCCGGCTCCCCTCAGGACCCGCTCGCTTCATGTGGGGCTCTGGCCCCACCTGAGATCCGACGTCGCGAAAAAAAACATGCAGCACCGAGAGAAGTCACGACAAGAGCCCCAGACCTCCCCTTGGCGGCGTGCTCCTCAGGAGGCGCCGGCCTCACATCTGCAGGCGAGGCCAGCGCCCTCTGAGAAGCCAGGGGTGCTTCTAAGAAGCCTTCCCCCCTCCCCCTGCCCCCCTTCTGCGCGCGGCCAGCCATCCTCCTGCGGCCCTCATCGGGTCGAATCGATCTGTGATGGTTGGCGCAGGGGGCCCAAAATGCTCCTCAATCGGAGGAGGAGGGGGAGGGGGAGGGGGAGGAGGGGAGGGGGAGGAGGAGGAGGAGGAGGAGGAGGAGGAGGAGGAGGAGGAGGAGGAGGAGGAGGAGGAGGAGGAGGAGAGGGCAGGCGAAAGCGCCCAGCGCGAAAAACTGCCGCGGCTTTCGGGGTTCACAGCGCGTCCTGGGCCCCCTCCCGCGGGCCGCAGCTCGGGCCCTCTCGGCGAGAGGCGCAGCCGCCGGGGAGCACCCCGAGGCCGGGAAGACCGCCCAGAAGCCCTCGAAGAGGCCCGAAGGCCTCGGCCCTCGGGCTCGCCATCGCTCGGACGTCCATTTCCTGTGATTTGTGTCGGTTTCGTGCGTGGCTTTTTCGCCATATGATCAAGGATGCTCCTCGATGGTCCTCGCCGAAGGAAAAAAATGCACACGTCCGAGCGATGCCAAGCAGGGCTCGCAGCGAGCTTCGGGGAGAGCGCCCCGAGGGCATAAACACCGCCCAGAAGCCCCCGAGGCGGCCCGAAAGCCTCGGACCTCGGGGCTCACGGCGAGCTTCGGGCCCCCTCCGCGCGGGGGCAGGGGCGGCTCTTCCTCCCTTCCTTGAGGGGGGGGGAGGGGTTAAGTCGGGCCTGTCCCCCTACATGAGTTTGGACGAAAAATGACCCCACTAATATTCCAAAAATGCTCAAAAATAGGAAAAACAATGAAATAGTCCCCAAACTGTTCTTTGACTGTTTTTGAATATTCCCCCTGTAGAGGGACAGGCCCGACTTAAGGCAGGGGGAGGGGGGGGCGGCCCGGCCGGGACCGGCGTCGGCACGCTGCTGCGCCGCCAGAGGACCCTGAGATCCTGGCGCCGCATTTGTTTCACACTGGGCGCTTCCGCCCCGCTGCGGGCCCCGGGGCCCCCACAGATCGACCTGGCTCGAAAAGCGACGCAGACAGGTGGGGTTTCTAGGGCTCCGGTGGCGGTCCTCGCGAGGTTCACGTGCGCAGGCCGCCTTCCGAGAAACAAAAAGACGATCCCGCGCCAGCGAACGCGCTCAACTTTCGCCCCCCCCGTTGACGCCACCCCCAAGTGGAGCTGAAGGAGCGTCGAAGCTCCGGGGAGGCCCACCGTGGGGCTCACATGCAGCGAGTTTGGCCCTTCCCCCGGGCGCCCGCTCGCCGGCCTCAGCAGCACCCCCGCGGCCCCCCACTGCGTGGTGGCGCCTGGCACGGCTCCTCGAGGGGCGCCAGCGACAGGGACGTCTGAGACCGCGGCGCTGCGGTTGAGACGTCGGAGCGTGCGAGGGGCAGCGTCCTGCGGCGACCCTGTGGGCGAAGCCGACCGGTCTTGAGGAATCGGCATCGCCCGTCTCAAACGTCCCTCTCCCTGCCCTGAGATCCGACGTAGCGAAAGCACTGCAACATCGTGAAGATCCGCGCCCGGAGGCCCGGACCCCATCTCTCTGCGTCACCTCTCGAGCCGGATCGACCCGTGAGGGCCCCGGGGCCCGAGAGAAGGCGGAAACGCCCGGCGCGAACACAGCCGAGCCGCCAGGCTCTCGAGAGGCCTCGGACGTCCCTCTCCCTGGGGCCCCTTTTTTGTTTTTTACCACCCGCCGAGCGTCACGACGGCTTTCGTTGTTTTTTGGAGGGCGACGAGGGAAAACGAGGGAGAGGAGGAGGAGGACGAGGCCGAGGGGGACGCAACGACAACCCCAAAGCGCAGAAACGACAAAGCGGGAGCCCAGACCCCCGACGTCATGATTTTTTCATGACGTCGACCCCCCGAGGTCCCGACCCCTTCCCCGGGACCGGTTTTTCGTCCTGAGTCGTTTTTTGACGGTCCCGAGGCCCGGCGAGGGCCCCCGGAGGCCGAAAATAGCGAAAAACCTCCCGTCGTGATTTTTTCACGACGCGAGGAAGTCTGGGAGGACAGGAAACGAGAGGGGAGGCGCCAGCCCGGCCCGGAGCGCCCCTGCCCGGCGGCGTGCGCGCGCGGGCCAGCGCCGCGCTCTCGCCGCGGCCCGCGGCCATTGGCGGGCCGCGCCCGGGGGGGGGCCCGCGGCGCCCTGGAGGTCAACTGGCCGCGTGGGTTCCGCGGACGGCGCGGTTCCCCAGAGGTGGGGGGGGGGGCAACGATAGAACCCTTCGTCTTGGGAGGCCTCCTCCTCCTCCTCCTCCTCCTCCTCCTCCTCCTCCTCCTCCTCCTCCTCGTCCTCCTCCTCCTCCTCCTCCTCCTCGTCCTCCTCGTCCTCCTCCTCCTGTAAGGCGCGGCCTTCGTCTTGGGAGGCCGTGTCTTACGGGTGGGGGGCAACGATCTGGGGGGACTGGCAGAGGGAGGAAGCATCGACCTGGAATTCGCCGACAGATCGGCGATCGGCCCCCGATAGTGAGCCCGCACCTTCCTGGGCAGGTTGGGGCTATCGGGCCCATACCGGCGATCAATGGGCGATTGGACGTCGATGCCTATCCCCCCCTATGCCTATCCCCCCCTATCGTTGCCCCTGGAGAGGTCTGGACCCCATCCTCCCTCAGATCGGGGCGTCGCAACACTCTCACGACGGGCGTCTACGCCCCGGGGCCCTCACAGATGGATCCAGCTCGGATATGCTGGCGCAGAAGTATGGGCTGCGGGGTTCCAGACGTGATTTTTCGCGATGTTGTGATGTTTTCGCAGCGTCGTACCTCAGGGCTGGGGCCAAGCTTTTCATCCTGGGCCGCGTCTGTTCTTCTTGAGCCGTTTCTTTGACGGCCATGGCGCCCTTGAGGTCAACTGGCCGAAACTGAAGATCTACAAAATGGGGAACGCAAGCGGTCAAACTAACGTCGTGGCCGTACGCGAGAAGCAAGTCGGCTACGGCTACACGGCGACACCTGCATCCATCAACTGGCTGCGTGCTCAGAGGCCGGGGTCGCCAGACCCAAGATCCACCGCATGCTCAGAAGATCGCCGAAGACCCCAGTCGCTCACGGCGCGGCGCGATAAGGAGCAGGAGGTGGAGGAGGAGGAAGAGGAGGAGGAGGAGGATGAGGAGAAGGATTTTTGCTCGAGGGCAGAAGCGATAGCCTTCTGACGTGGCTAGCGCCGATGACCCCAGCCTATGTATCTGGGGCCTTCCTGGGCTGCTGACTCCTCTGTAGAGCCTTGAACTGCTCAATCTCATTCAAAGGCCTGCCATCCTCTGGATGAAGGCCAGACAGAAGTCGCTTGCGCACTGTGAATCTCTTGCCACTCTTCGGTGGACCTAGGCACTGTGCCAGCAAGCCCTTGCATACAAAAGTCGTGTGCATCCCACAACTGACGCAAAACACAATGAGGCCGTCTGGGCATGTCGCTGCCGAGAGGGCATGGGAGGGGTGTACCAGCTGTAAGCGTGACCTAAACTCTCCTGAGAACGGTGTGCACAGCTCGGTTTGACGCTTGGATACCGCTTCATCCGAGTGCGAGAACGTAAAACATCCTGCGCAACGCCAAGGGACATGCTGGGCTCGTTGCCAGTCATGTACCAGCGAGAGCTGAATTCGACGATCCTGCTTGCCTGGAGTTCGCTCTCCTCGCAAGTGCTTCGGCCAAGCCTGCAACATGCGAGGGATGAAAAGAAGAATGTTGGCGGCCTCCTCCATCTTGACTCGCAACGACGACTCCGACGACGGGTCAAACGACGGATGTATCTGGAGGGCCGCCTTCGCTGACAAGTCGCACTGTGGTTGATGGCGATATATGGACTAGGGTTCCTAGGAGGAGGAGGAGGTGGAGAGGAGGAAGAGAGGATGGAGGAGGAGGACAGGAGGAGGTGGAGGAGGAGGTGTGAGACGAGGAGGAGGAGGAGGTGGTGGAAGGAGGAGTAGGAGGAGGTGGAGGAAGGGAGGGAGGAGGAGAAGGAGGAGGAGGAGGAGGGGAGGAGGAGGAGGAAGGAGGAAGAGGAGGGAGGAGGGAAGGAGGCGAGTAGGCAGGAGGAGGAGGAGGAGGAGGAGGAAGAGAAGGAGGAGGAGGGAGGAGGAGGGAGGAAGGACCAGGTGGAGGACGAGGAGGAGCACGTCGCGACTCTGCCCACGGCCCGCGGCGCCTCGGGAGCGGCCCCTGGCCGCGCCGGCCTCGGAGCTCCGCGCCGCGCCTCCCCCCGCCGCGGCGGGCTCCAGGCCGGGCCCGCGGCCCCGCGCTGTCCGGCGAGGGGTCGCAGCGGGCAGGCGGCCAGCGACGGCTCGCGGGCGGGCGCGCCACAGAGCGGCGCGGCCGGGCGTCGCTGCGCAGAAGCTGCCCTATGGAAAGGCACTGCGACGACGACGGCGACGACGGCGACGACGACTACTACTACGACGGCTACTACTACGACGACGACGACGACGACGACGACGACGACGAGGACGACGACGACGACGACGACTGCCTTCCACGACTCGCAAACTAAGTAAACTATACTCGCGAGTGGCCTGGATCCGCCGCGGGCCGCGGGGGACTGACGCCACAGAGGGCGGATGTCGGAAACCTTGAGCACCGAAAAAAACATCTCTTGCGGGCGCATAATTTTCTTCCGCCGCCTTCCGCCAACCTTCCGCCGCCTTGCGCTGGCTTACTCCGGCGGAGGCGGTCTGGTTTTACTTCCGCCCACTTTCCGCGCCTTCCGCCGAGGAAGAGATGACAACTCCTTCGATCCTTGAAGGCAAGGCCCTTTTTGAAACGCCCCAAATGGTGCGGCAGGGTGTCGCTGTGCAAGTTACATCCTGAGATCCGGGCGCTGCGTCTTCCTCACCCTGGGCGCGTTCGCCCAGTTCCGGGCTTCGGGTCCATCACAGATCGATCGGGCTCGCGAACATGCCGCAGAAAGATGGGGTCCGGGGCTCCGGTCGTGCTTTCGCGCGACGTCGCGATTTTTGTCGCAACGCCGGACCTCAGGGTATACCCGGTATTGCCTTGAGATCGGGATACTCCGCCACGCTCCTGCCGAGCGGTCGCCCCCCGCGCACACTCGGCCAGCCCCATTGTGCCCCACGCCCCCCACTCCTGCACAGTGCCATTGGCGCAGCGGCCCAGATGGGCGGGCCGCTGCGACGTGCCGCCGGCACGCGAGGCGAGACGAGGAGGAGGGGGGGGCGAGGCGGGGGAGGGACTTTGGGGGGCGGCGGGGACCTCGGAGAGCAGAGGCAGCCCACCGCCGCGCCGGCCGGGCGACCCCGCCGGCGCGCCGCGGCGGCAAGGGCGGCGGGCTCCTCCTCCTCCTCCTCCTCCTCCTCCTCCTCCTCCTCCTCCTCCTCCTCCTCCTCCTCCTCCTGGCTCGGCGGCGCTGGCCGTCGCAGGCGCGCCCGCAGAGCCCGCGGGCCGCGCAAGGGCCGCGGGGGTCACGCTGGCACGGGCGGCGGAGCGGAGGCGCTCGAGCGCAAGGGCCGGGCGCACGAAGTGCTGGCGCCCTGGGCCTCCGCCCTCGTCTGCGTGCGCTGGCTCCGGAGAGCTCGCTCCGCGCCCGCGGCGGGCGGGTGGAGGCAGCTCGGCCTCGGCACGGCGAGGGGCCCCCGGCGGCGTGGGCGGGCGGGGCGGGGGCGGCTGGGGAGGCCCTTCTGCGCCCGAGGCGAGCTGTGCGCCCTGGAGGGCACGGTGGGCCGACGGAACAGATCCTCTGGTGCGCGGCGCGCCCTGGATTAAGGGATCCTGTGGTGCGCGGCGTGCCCTGGGTTAGTGCATCCTATGGCGTGCTGGCTCTGCGGTGCATCGCGGCACGGCTGTAGATAGTGCTACAAGAAGAGAAGGAGGCGGAGGAAGAGACGGAAGAGGAGGAGGAGAGAGGAGCAGGGGGAGGAGGAGAGAGGAGGAAGGGGAGGAGAAAAAAGGAGGAGGAGGAGGAGGAGGAGGAGGAGGAGGAGGAGGAGGAGGAGGGGCCGCGGGCGCGCGCACGCCTGTGGCCCGAGGGCGTGTGGTGGCGGCTGTGGCCCCCCACGGGTATTGGGCCTCGGGGCCGCGCGAGGGCGCCGCGCGCGGGGGGGGGGGGGGGGGGGCGGAGGCGGCGTGGCGCGCGGAGGCGGCGGGGCGGAGGAGGCGCGCGGGAGGGAGGCGGCGGAGGAGGCGGGGAGAAAAGAGGAAAGGGAGGAGGAGGAGGAAGGACGAGGAGGAGGAGGAGGAGGAGGACCAGTGCAAACCAAAGAGTCATCAACAGTGTTGTAATAAACCCTTCCTCCAAGCTCCCTCTTCACAGGCCCCTACAACGGGTCATTTCCATTGAGGGAAATGCCTCGTTGGAAGACAAGCGTTTGAAGACCCTGAAGCATGCCTACACATTTTGCTCGGGATTCCAACGCCACATATCAACCTGACTGTTGCGCCTTGACGATCCTGAATCGTGCCAGAACGCCATTCCTGGGACTTCAGCACCGCGAATTAACGTAACTGTTGCACCCGCACAATCCTGAATCCCTCCGAAACATAATTTCTGGTACGTTGATGATGAGAACCCGTGGAGATCTTGAAAATGGTACAAACGAATGTGCGCGGCGCTGAATGCTAAGGCGAGAACCACATCTTGAAAAACAACCGCCCTCAATCAGTAAAACCCTTGCACATGCTTAAAACGAATGCGCGCGGCCGGGCGCGGCGCTAAGGCGAGAACCAACATCTGAAAAAGCCATGCCCTCCATGTGTGAAACTGTTGCCAATTTGTAAGCTTCAGAGTCATAAGTGGTGAGGACGTCTCATGCGAAACGCCCAGTCCGCCTAAAAACTGGCCTCGGGGTGCGACAGGGAGAAGTTATCTATTATAAGGTGAAGGAATGGAGGAGGAGGAGGAGGAGGAGGAGGAGGAGGAGGATGAGGACGACGACGACGACGACGACGACGACGACGACGACGACGACGACGACGACGACGACACCGATGAACGGCGGCCAGAATTCGCTTCGCGACAGCCAGGGCCACAATAAAGAGGGCAAAAGGAAATATTGCACGGAGGCTCAAAACACCGTGGTCAGACCCTGCACAGCACTTTAGAACACCAGAGGGGGCACCTACCACTATGAACAATCGAAGCATACGATGCGCAAGCACTACAACCAACACTTTAGTACGAGAGGCCATGCGGGAGACCATGCGAGACACCGTACGCGAGACCATACGGACGACCATACAGGAGACCAGAAGAGCATCCGCCGACCCCTTGGGGTCACGGCGTGTGAGACGCTTCCCCCTCCCCAAAACCCCTCCCCCGGGAGCCCGGTCCGGCCGGATTGGAGGGGGGGGGGGGGGCAAAGGTGCCGGCCGCACCCGTGGAGCCTCAGGGGGCCCCAAAACGGGGCCAAGAGGGCCCCGAAGAGCCCCTGGACGGTTCGAGAGGGCTACGCGTCGCCCAGAGATCGCTCCAAGACGCCCAAGATCGCCCCGAGACGGTCCCAGAGGCCCCCAAGACGCCCCAAGAAGCCACCAAGAAGCGTCCCAAGAGGCCCTCCAGAAGCAAAAGTCGTCCCATTCCGTAGGAAAAATTATTATTTTTAGCACATTCGCTTCTTGGGCTTTCAAGAGGCCCACAACGGCCCAAGAAGCCTTTAAGATCAACCCAAGATAGCCCAAG